AATAGTATATGAATGATCCGCATATTTTGAAACATTTCAAAACAAATCCTCTTCGACCTTTTCTCACCCTCATCTTCGCTTGTTCGTTTCGATAACCCGCTCAGATCGCTGCTAGCATCCGTCCATTTCAACCGAGGCAAAGGCAAGCGACGGGCGAACACACCAGCAAGGCAATATCTCTTCCCGACGATCTCTCCGATTTAGCTATTGAAAAGGCAACGTAGATGGGGTTTATTATATCAAAGTTATATCTCTTGTCGTAATTGGATTTCTGATTCAAATCTGCTATGTAGGCTCTGGTTTTATTAGATTAAGGATTCTCTAATCTTTGATATTGACGACATTCAATTATTTTGGTTTTATAGTTGCATGCCAGCATCCCACAAAGATATATACTATAGATTGAGACATGATGAAGATGAGCACATACAAAGTGATGCTCATTTGTTTGATGGTAGCTAAAATGACTAAGAACGAGAGATCCTGAATGGAAGGAGGCCGAAACAGGTAACTCCTGATACTATCTCTATAGTTTAGTGCTACTCATTATCTTATTTGTTAGTTATTACCCATAAAACCAATGGCAATACATCCCTCAGACCTTACTCTCCTATGAGCCTAAAGGAAAACTTCTTTGATAACTTTGTCAGTTTATACACTTACTTAAATTCCTGGTCTAACACTAGAGTTTGCGTGAGCTAATGATATAGAATCATGTTTTTTTTTAAAAGGTTTCTAGGGAGAAACTTGTACGCATAAGAGAGGAGATACTAAAGAAGAGAAGATGTGGAAAATTACCAGGAGACAAACACCACCTCTGTTCTCAAAGCATGGTGGCAGTCTCATTCCAAGTGGCCTTACCCTACTGTGAGTTCTCTCTTTCTATGTCTTCAGTCGCTAACATGACTCATGTTTTCTTACAGAACACGCCAAACAACTTCATTTGCCTTTTCAATCTCCTAAGTTTTAAAGATTGAGATCAACTTTAGGGTAAGCATTGAGAGATTCGTATTGGTGCAGTTTTAAATATTGCATGGGTAATACATGTAAATGAATGTCTATGTCTTCTTGTAGTAATTATTTGTGAATGATCTATAAAATCATTTAATATAAGATCAATAGCTGCACCATCTAAAACTCAAATTGGAAGAAGTTAATTTTTGCACATCTGATCAAATCCCAAAAAATTTCTTGAAATGCATGGTAACTAAATATTTTCCAATCTATCAACATGTCTCTCTCTTAACAGTTATAAATGAAGTTTTCCTACTTTAGCTCAGAGAACGGAATTTAAGACTTGTACTTGGAAGTATTTATTCAATGCCTCTTAATCCTTGCATGAACCTTTAAGTTGGTTGTAATTCGTTGTTTCCTCTCATTGCCCTATATCGTGTTTTGAGGCTTTAATAATTATATAATTCACTCTCCTGCTCAAAATGTAAAGTTATCGTCTCCACTATGGGATTTACTTATGTTTTTTTTTGGTTCTTCTTTGATTACTTATAAATCTTGCTTTGGTGGAATCAGGTCAGAAGAAACAATTTGGGTGAGTCCGGAGTCGTGAATCTATAGAGGAATGGTTCTTCTAATTGTAAGTTATCCTATCATATTTATTCTCATTCGATCTCAAACAAGAAAATTAAACTTATCTGTAAAGTTTACACTGTTGTGTTGTTCTCCTTCTCTAGAAACCTTTTGTCAGTGAGTTTGCTTGCTCAATTAATCTTAGATAGCATATTGAAACTTCTTAGAAAAAATTACAATGGTAGAGGATATAGATTTAAGATAACCAAAAACTCAAGAACAAGAAGGCTTGCAAGTTAATTCTCGCAATGGTAAACCATAGTGATTTTCTCTTTTAGAGTTGCTAATTTGTTTTTTTACTTTGATTCCATGCATCTTATCTTTGGCAAGAATGTTAAACTCGTGAACTTTATTTAGAAATAACTGAATATGGGAATTGTAGTTCGGGATACTACGTCACCAACTGATATGCAATAAATTGTTCTGTTCTTCCTAACTTAATTTACCTGTCCTTATCAAATTCTAGAATTATAAGTTTTAATATATGCATGGAATTGATCAAATTTTGTTTGAAACGAGATCAGGAAACTTGGAAGTTGGAACTATGTTTCTTATCATCAAAGTTCTCAAACATGGTATCCCACAGTCTCTTGTTTTGGTGTAAACCTACAGTGCCACATTGGAGTCAATCCGAGATTGGCGATGGAAATTTCCATTGCTCATATGGTTCTCATTTTATTACTAAGGTTCCTTCTCTTGCTTCACTTGTGCCCTGAATTTGATTACACCCCTCATGTCGTTTTAGCTTTCTCGAAAAGAATTTCTATTATTTACCTGATGTTTCAAGATTTCTAAACTGCAATTGGTAGTGTTACCTTTCATGAGAACAAACGAGTGGTTGCTTGCTTATCGTTACACGTTCTTATAATTAGTCAAACCTGAATTGTGTTTAGTTAAAGTTGTTGACAAAAAAAAACCATGAGTTGTGTTTATATATTGATTCTAATTCATTTCCAGAGAAGCCTAAGACCCTAAGTTTAACTGTTCTTTGCATTCTAAGGTGACGAAGCAAGGATTTGATCATGTTTACAAATACTCTCTCATACCACTAACAATAACATCCTAGGCACGACATACCAGTATGAGTTGTGGGACAAGTTCGTTAGTTTGACTGTGATTCCTATGGTTTAGGTTGCTTGGATTTTTCTTTTAATTTGTTTATGATATCAGTCTGATAAATGAACTAATCTCCAGCCTTTAACTTTACAGTACGCGATGGCGATGCCACTAGGCCCTAAATATGTGAGTTTAAAGATTCAAACTCAAAGGCAAAATGATACATGTAATGATGAATAGGAGGCTGGCCATCCTTCAGCACCATCTAATTTTGGGTGTGTTTTAACGGTTTGGAAAATTCCAAATTATGCAGAACAGGTAAACAGGTGATGAGCCAGACCATCGTGTGTAGCCGCTAGAGAAGCTAAATCTGGATATTTTCCAGTGTTCCATAGTACCAGACAAGGGTTTTAGTGGTAGTCGTCATTTCTATAGTTTTATCTTTTTGGATGACTTTGGTATTTTAAATCCTTCATCCACAGTTTCTTTTAGCTATTAAATCCCATAAACAGAGTGCTAATTTATGTAATTTATACTTCTTGATTATTCATCTTGAGGTGGATTAGACCGTCGAAAGAGTGATGAAAACTCAAAACTTTTGTATAAACAAAAATGAAGGCACATTTAAACACCGCGATTAAACTAAATTTGTTGTACTATGAAATATATTACAAATACAAAAATAACAGTAATAGTTTAAGCAAGGGGTGAAATTATTATCCGAGATCCGATCCGTTATTTGTTCGGAATTGTTCTGAAAATTAGGATATCCGAGGAGTCCGGATCCGGATAGCAAAATTTTAAGGTCCGAATATCCGGATCCGGACGTATTAAATATACTAAAACATACTCCCTCCGTTCTTAAAAGATAAAAA